GGGGTCAAGTTGTTGGGTAGGTGTAGCCATGGTGAAGAGAATAATAAAATAAAAAAAGGAAGAAAGAGACAGATCAGAGAGCTGGCTCTGATGCCATAATAAAAAAGAAATAATACTAAATGAAAGTGATGGATCAAGAAGCTATAAGAGGAATGGTCATCAAAAATCTTTTTCTCTTTCTCATTTTTGCATGCTCAACAGTAGAACAGATTTAATGCATTCTCATTACAGTTTTTGAGTTTCTTAGCTTCTGTATTTTTCCTTAGCGGCTACCTTACTACATTCCATGGGATTTATGGATGATCTAAAATGATCCTAACCACTCATCTATCTAGGTAACAAATTTAGGGTTACGTTTTTGGATCTTTGCTAAGTGACAGCTAGCTCCTCTCTCTCTCTTGTACTCTTGGTCACGTTTTTGTTGTGATTCTTTGTCTTCATGCAAAGCAGGTCTAACCATGCACATGCTGACGTGGCATTGCTGGTTTGGAGTCAAGCTCTTAACACTGGGCAACAAAAGAGAGAAGAGTGAATTTACAGAAAATGGTACATGCTAAACATGTATCATTTTTTGTGACTTTGTTTTTTTATCATACCTTTTATTCGTCATTCCGTTGTTTCTCCTTTGTCCTGATATATTGCTTCCATCTTCAAGACCATATTGTTTATGGATTCCTGTAGATTAGTCCCGCTCACCTGCCCACGGTGGGCAGTGCCCACCACTTTTTTTACATAAAAAACGTATTCTCAAAGCACGGCCCACCGTGGGGCAGGTGAGCTGTTTTTCTATCATGTAGATAACATAACTTTGGTTAGTGTTCTAATCTATAACTCCCTTAAAAGTATGAGTTGTTTCTAACATCATATGTAGATTAATTCAGAATAATATAATTAAAAATAAATTATTATTTAAAATATATTAATTTGTGTAGGTAATGTTTTGTATGTGTAAGAACTTAAAGATATAAAACAATAATATATGTTGGACAAGATATGTAGAGAGATAAGTATCTTTAATCAATAAAGATGTTATTATTCCTAGGCTTTTTCATGTAATTTTTTTTTTTTTGAAATAATTATGACTTTAAAGACATTTTCAAATATTTAT